AGCTGCACAGCCAGCAGTGGAATGGATTCTGTTGTCTTATCACCCGTCTGATTATCCTGGCTGCCTGATTCAAATTGCAGTTGTCAACAGCGCTTACAAGTAACGGTCTTAAAATCAATGCATTTCCCTAAAGAGCAGAGTATTGTATTTAACAAAACGCATGGCAGGGAGTGGAGGGAGCTATCGGAGGTGTAACTAACTGAACAGCATTCGAATGAATTGTGCAAGAACGGCATGGACTAGCCACGGAAAGATGACAAACATGGGTAGCAACTGTTAGACTGTCTGCATCAAAGACAACTGGCCTGGTAGAGCCGTCAATGTTATAATTTGGCTGCTGGCATCCCCAACATATTGAGAAGTCCTTCCTGTTGGGACACTGGCATGGAGGCTGCAGTCTCAAATCCAGCTTGCGTACCACTGTGCAGGGGTGATTTCTTAGAGTTCCCTGCCTGACTTCCAGCAGATTGACTATGATGGGGATATCAGAGGCATTGACTGGCACCTGTGTTGGCACTCGTGGCACAGCAGTGAATGGAGCAGGACCCTCAGCTACTTAGTTTAACTCAGGGGCTTCCATGGAAAAGTTCCCCAATGTAGGAGCAGCGTAGGGAAGCTTGCCCTGCTGGCACCCACTGCCCTGCTGTGAACAGCTAACCAGTTTGACGTCTTCCAGAAGCACTTAAAATCTCCCAAAGCATCCAAAGGCAAAAAGCAAAACTCTCCAGTATCCAAGTGAAGCCAGCTGGCATCCTGTCCACTGTGACAGATGAGCTGAACCTTTCCATCCATAGCCAAGCCCACTTTGCTCTCACCACGATCCCTGCTACGCGCTTGTCATTGCTGAGTTGTGATTCATCAGGAAGTGGCAGGAAAAACGAGGTCCCATGCCAGGATAGGTGACCTTACAGCAAGCTCTCGGCTGGCATGAAGTGGGCTCCAATCCATATGCTGTCCAGTGCTAACCAATACGCTAAAAATAAAAATAAACCAGAGAAAGCGGGGTTTCCCTTTGGCTTTGGTGAAGATTGAGAGGCTGGTCTGAGTGTGTGTATTGCAATGAGGGAGGAAGTAAGGGCTGTGGAGTCAAACAAATGGACATCAGACCCAGACGAGCTTATGGAGTTATAGCCGGCTCGTTGTGGCAGAGTTCCCATGGGTTCGTCAGAGTTAGGTCTATTGTTTGCAGTTCTCAGGGAAGTGCCTGCAGTAATGAAGAGATCATGAGGGTTTTTTCCAGGCGGATCTCTGACTCGAAAGCTAAGAGGAAATTCTTAGTCGAAATCCTGTCTGCAGGAGAGTACGGTATCTCTGGGTTTCCCTGCCAAGATGCACTTAATTAAGGGCGTATAAAAAATGGTTTTGCTTTGGTTATAAAGTGCTGAAGGGTTTTTGGGTAGGGAAGTGGGACAAGGGAACACTAAATTAAATGGGCTTGATAACATGATTTGTGAGATCTTGTAGGTGTCAAGTGTGAGACTATATATAGTGGCTCAATCTTATCATGGCTCAATATTATCTAAACGTGAATAGATTTCATGTGAACACTGGTTCCTATTTGTTGCTCGGTTGGTGCTTAACATCCCAATACACAATATTTACAGTGAAAAGAGATCCTCTGTTCCTAATTTCTTAAATATTTGTGATGTCTAGAAGACTTGATAGGAGTGGTCATTTCCACTGCCCTCCCCCTTCTTTTTTTGGAGATTAAATTCTTAGCTTATTATCAGCCCTTTGAAATAGTGAAGCAATGAACTTTTAAATAAAATTACTTTGGTTTATGACTGTTATAGATCAAAGGGGTTGAGAGAGAGAAATGGAGCAATGTTTTCTATCCAAGTGTTTTCAAAATCTGTTCACCCACGCTCCTTGTATAGCCCAACCTGGCATAAAAGCACTTGTTTGCATACAACCCTCTTACAGTGTTCAGCAAAAAGTCTAGGTTAATACTGCAGAGAGTAGATGTTTTTCCCAGAATGTCTTGGCTTCTTATGCTTGAACACGGCACCCGGCAGCGATCCCCGGCTATTACTGGTGCATGCGGCATGTGGTATCAGTACACATCAAAGCTGCTGATGGCGACTATATATACACGGACTGCGTGATGTCCTAGGACCTCCCAGCCTGCATGGATGGTTCTTGTTTATATGCGAATCCCCATCATGCCTGCTATCATTCATGGGTGCTCCATAGGAGAATGGAGTCTTTCTGATTTTATTCGTTGCTCTAAACATCATGTTTTTGCTGCTTTCACTGCCTAAGACCAGGCGTATCGTGTATGTGGACAAAACCATAAGTGTACATAAGTCCTGAATCTACATAAAGAAATGTCTATTTGTTTTGCAAGCCCAGCCTAGAGATCTGCCCGTGCATATCTGGTTCTGCAAATAAAATGTGAGCATGTCTGCCTGCACACACTTAATTCGGCTCCGAGGGCCGTGATTCTTCACTAAGGTGCCCTGGCCTGAGGTCTGGGGAGCTAAGCAGAGCACAGGCTCAGGCTTGTCCTTGCTTGGTCAGTCCCTCACCCCCCAACTGCCCGGCCTTCTGCATGCTGCTGGTCTAACAGGACATCCAAAGTCTGTACAACAATTTCTAGAGCACTACTGGCTTATTCCAGTTGCCTGGAAATCTAATGTACTTCATGGGTGGTGGTGGGGTAGGAGGGGGTTAATGATCTATATCTGGTCTCTTGAGCTTTGGGTTCCTGAGATATGGTCCCCTGGACACACCAGCATTCAAAGTTGTCTGTTGATTGTTCCACAAATCCGTGGTCTTTGTTTTTTGCTACGGCTTTGTTCAGGGCTCAGCGGGCCTCAGTCACTCAGCATCCACCCCCGCTTGTGCCCAGCACCCTGCCCAATTTATTAAACAGGGAACGTGGCTGAAGCAACCTTTTCAAACAGGAGCAATCGTGAAGGTTGGGCTCTGTGGTTCTTTGCACCCAACTTTCAATGTATATATTAGGAAAGTGACAACGTGCGGTTTTCAGAAGGTCAAAACTCTGAAGCGAAGCCGCTACGCCTTGGGCCCCGGTCCAGTGAAGACAATCTGTGAAGCTTGAACGCTGCTGTCCTGTGCATGTCCTTGGGAGTGTCTTTTAAAAATGGTCTGAGTTGATCAAGCCTGCACAACTACACGACACTTCAAACCTTATGGCAGAAAGCCACAAATGTCTGTAACAGCTGCTGTTGACCTGGGAGAGGTGGTCACCTGGTCTTTCTCTAATGACCGGTGCAATATGTAGGGACCTACCAAATTTGCAATTGTGCAATTTTCACAGAAAATGCAAAATTGGGTGAGCTCCGCAAAAGCGGCAGGCTCTGTGATTTTTGGCAGGCTCGTTGCAAAAATAAATAAAATAAAATTGCTGAAAATAAAATGGGGTTGCTTGTGCAGCCTCACCCCTCTCCACCAATCAATAGGGCTGCATGAGGGATAGCCCTCTCAACCAATCAGTGGTGCGCGGCAGCGCCACCAGGTCCCAATCACAGGCACAGGGGGGTCCCACTACTCTCAATCCACGAAAATGGCAACCAGCCCCAGGATCTGCCCACGAAATCGGCCGGCCGCCTCCTCAAGTTGGGTAGAGCCCCAGTGATATCCTGTAGAAACGTTCCTCAGCTTCCAGCTCCCATACTCGGCTGAGCACATCTGCCTGGATGGGGCCGAGCCACTAACTACCTGGGACGGTCCTGAGCCAGCCATGAGGGTGGGTGGGCTGGAAAACAAAAATGGTGTTTTGGGAAAATCTGGAATTCATCATCACCATCCTTTTGCTTTGTTGCATGCCGGGACAGGCTGGAAGTCTGCATTCCTTGTGCAGGATGAGACCTGTGTCCAAATAGCCTGCAGCCTTGGGGTCAGGGGGCTCACTGGAGGCCTGGGGTCAACCTCTGGCTTAATTGTAGCATGGGCTTGAACCTGGCTTCCCATGCGCCGGGTGAGCGCCCTGCCCAGCTGTCTGCTCGGAGCGGGCACTACCCTCCTCGTTGGGATCAGCAATCCCATTCTGGAGCGGAGAGCTCCTAGATGAACCCCTTGATGAAGGCAGAGCTGGGGGGAGACGTAAGCATTGACAAGCTGATGTTTTCCAGTGGAAGGGATTTCTTCACTGCGGGGATGGAAGGGTACCAGACTTCTAGAGGGAATGAAAACCCCATGTCATGCCCCAGTTTCTGACGGGGGTCAGGAAGAAATTCCCCCACTGCTCACATTGTACCTTCGTCGGAGGCAAGTGACACCAGCCCCCTTTCAGAGAAGTGCTTGGGCTGGGTGGCCTTGCCCAGTCTGCCCAGTCCTGCATTCCTCTAACTTGTCTCCAAATAATGCAGTCGAGAGGGTGACACTGAGTTTTCCCCGCGTGACTGATTAATGAAGATAGTTTGTGTGGACCCTGCAGTTTTCAGACAGGTATTGAAACAGATTCTGTTCCCCAAGTGCTTCTGTTTGTATTTAACACCCTGGCTGGGGATAAATCATCACAACAGGTTTTATATATGGCTCTGACAATGCTGAGCTGCCGCACTGGAGAAAGAGGGAGGGAATTTATAACGCACCTATGTACAGGCTGGGGCTGGTTAATATGCAGGAGAGACTCCAAGTGCTGAAGTCTTTTTTGGTTCATCATAAAGACAGTACAAAGTGCAAAGAAAGAAAGAAAGAAAAAAAACCCATAAAAAACCACCAGGGTTGGGAATCCCCTGGGCTCAGGAAGCTGCAGCTGGAGAACAGGAGGATTTTAA